ATCTTAAATTTTTCAATTTTACTACAAACTATAAAACATTAAATAATGTATTCTTCATATTTTATCATAGATTCGAGTAATAGCAATTTTGATACTCTTCTTACTCACTTTTACCCGTCAGTTCTATTTAATTCCTGCGAAATATTGAAGTTTAAACGTCGTCCTCGTTTTAACTCAAGCGTTGGTAAAAAATTACCTACAGAGCCCGCCCTTTGCACGACAGTCATCTTGAAAACAATGCAAGCGGCGAAGTTGTGGTGAATGCACGTATAGTTCCAGTCAATATTTCAGTACTGTGGTGAGTAGTTATTTTCGTACGTATATATATATATATATATTTAATTGTAATTTATATAAGGCTATATGTGATTTGTTGATAAGTAGTATCCACTAATAAACATATCAGTAAAATAGTAAATTTGGTGTGGGTCCCATATCTAATAATTGAGATATCGGTATACCCAAAATCCACCAGCCGCCACTGATGTGTGGTATTATTTGATTTAAAGATATTTAATGTATAATATGCTCAAAGTTGCAATAAATCTTATATTTTCCAATAAATTATGTATTTAATTAGTACCCTGGTATACTCGTCACTTTCCTTGCATTCAAATTTAGAAAACAGATATTTCAGTAACTGTTTGAAAAAGTAACTGGCCCGGCCTGGAAAAGTATATTTATTATATGTTCTCATAACAAAATATTGTTTCATTTTCTCCGAAAACTATATTAACAAAATGAGGTCAAAAGTTGCCCAACTTTTGTATAAATGCATACTTAATATCTTTTAAAGCAAGCTGATACAAAAATAAAAATGTACACAACAGGTTAACTAATTTAAAACATTTTTCACCTGCAGAGAAAAAGACAGATTTTCTAAATTTAGGAGTTTTGCTGGCTTCCCATTTAAATAGAAACGAGGGGGGTCAGCGAGGTCACAGTGTGAAACATCGCCGCTAAAGATTTAATTTCCAACAGATAACCTGCGGATGCCTGCACTTGGATTCCACCTCTTTCAGATCGATATCTCGAAAAATACGAAACAACATAATGAGACCGTTCAAAGAAGCCACAAGTGCTCTAAAAGCAGTTTAAAATATACTTCTACTATTTCTCTACTGTCTGAAAACTGTCTTTAAATTAACTGCATTATTTTTTTTTATTAAAAAATTAAATAAAACATTAACATTCACTCGATCGCTTACTATTATCTATCATCTTAACTGAAATGATTTCCTGATCGCGGTGGCCTGGTCAAGCATGAAAGAGATTGACATCGCAGGCAGCCAGTGGATAGAAAAGCCAACTCGGACAAAAGAACCTCGATTACCGACAACACAACCAGAGCACTCTCTGTATGTATTTCGTACCGAAAAAAACCGTACAATCATCGTCTAATAATAAAAATTAATTCGACTAAACAAAGCAACAACGTTTTAATCGAATTGCCAGAATGATTGATTAAGTCCGAGATATACACGAGGAATTTTGTTTGAAACAAAATAAGTTTTAATGGATTTTATAGTCTTGAGTTTGACGTTTATTAGTTTAACTGTAAAATATTAATAATTTTTATAGGTACTTTCTAAGACGAACAAATCTTTCCAATATTTAAATAGTTTGATGCTTGTAAATTTGTACCACTAGAATTAAATTAAATGTTTATCAAATTAATTTAAAAAACAGTTTCTTCATAAATTTCACTATAGTTTATGAATACGGCCATTTATATGTTTATTTCTTTTGAGCAATTCTAGTAAATCATTGTTAAAAATGTCCGCAAACGCGTTTTGTTTGTTCAGGGTTCCCACTTTGAATGGGATACGAATGTGTATGAATGTTATGTGGAAAAACGTTCGAAGTGAATTATCCTCAAGGCGGGAATGTCGACGAGTACCTGTATCCACCCGGTGTAACTATTATGTGCAGATTTTATTTATTATTCTGCGTACAATGCGTAGTGTGGTGTCTGTCGAGGTGAGCAAGGAATTTTATGACCAACATGATGATGGGCTAGCTGGCCAGCTAGTTAGAATTATTTATTCAGATGCCTACTTATGGCTAAATATCTATACTTCAGGAAATATATTTTCTTAGCTTTTTTATTTCACAAAATCTTCGTTGTGATTGTTATGTTTGTCTCTTAAACACAATAACGTCATTCCGGTCCTTAATTGCAAAACTGTGTTTTATTGAACTCAAAATTCTATTTCTTGTTATTAATGAATATTAATCCAGATACGTCAATTTACAATGTTGTAGTACAACCTAATTGCTTTAGATGTATGTACTAGGAAGTGCCATAAATACTACAAATGCACATGGTAACAAGTCCATAATTCTCCTATTTGTTCAGCTGATAGCTCATATTGTTTGATTCACTTTGATTTATATTTTGAGTTATCGATAAATATGTAGAAATGCCTTAATGTGTTCTCTTCGTACAATTATTGATGCGGGCTTTTTGTCTATAGAAATGTATTTATGTTTTTAATTATAGAAATATGTGATTTTGCTTAAGGTCTAATAGCATCCGTTTAGAGTAATAGTAATGATAATATAAGTTTAATGATAATAAAGACTTTGTTGAATGCTCGCAGCAGTAATTGCTCGATATACCAAGAGGATGTAGTAAAGTTTTTATGAATTAATGTGAGAAAATCAAAACAAACAATGTGTTAAACATTATCTTTCAAATAAATTGCATTTTAATTTTATATATTCATTGCAAGACAAAGAAACTCTTGGGACATCTTTACTCTGATTTTTATTTAACTGAATAAGTTCTAACATAACTCAATAACTCAATGAAAAAGCAGACGTGGAATGTGTAAGATTGAATGCCATAAAAAATCGATCATCAATCATTCCCATCTTATTTTATTATTACCAAAGAGTGCAGGAAAAACTGACTTGATGTCCATGCATTGAATTTCTTAAATAAGCTTTTATCTTTTTTGCTTGACGATTAATCATTATCTCTCCAACGTATGTTAAGGTGATTTTCTGCGGTAAGCAAATTTAAACATCATTTAATGAGCTGCCTAACAAAAAGCTTCATGTTCTTGTTATTTTCTACAAATGATTCCAGCTTTTTCTAAAGCAGTTGTCTCAAACCCATATTCTTGGAAAAATCTATAGGTAGTGAAATTGATAAAATTTGAAAGGAACAAAAATTAACAAATAAATGAAACTTTCGGGGGCCTTAAATAAAAATTCCAATACTTTCATTTTTATACCGTTGCTTAAACGAATTCAACACAAATATTTTTAGTTATAAATACAATGTAAAATATTTGAGCGGTAGTTTTTGTGGAAGATTTTTCTCTTTTGATAGCATATGGCTGAGTTGCCTAATTTATTGTATATGTAATTATTTAAACAAATCTTTAACGGATTGTTATGTGATATATTGTATTGAGCTAATCGGCTGTCACAATTTAATGGTAATGATAATTTATAAAGAATTTATTGTTAAGTTATATCTTTCCTTTCCATATACATATATAAAAGATAGGTACAGGTTCTGTTTTTGGTAATCTATTTGAATGACCTAAGAACTTCTAGGTAATGATAAATTTTCTATTCTTATTATGTTTAGAAGACGAAATTGACAACCAAAAAACTGCGATTTACTTATTTGGTGTTTCTAAAGATACTCCTTATGTTAGACGCTTGCGTTCCAAAACGTAATTTAAGCGTTAAACTATATTGTCATTGTTTTTAATGACAGCATTTGGTTCACCCTAATAAAAATTTTGAACTTCATTTACATATATCCATATCTATATATTAGGGTGGTCCTTATTTCTTTTCTTTCGACTTTTTTGTTCATGCTAAATCGGTTCAAAATAAATTAAAAACATTCCTGCCAAGTTTAGCTCTTAAATTTAATTTTAACAGCCCCCCACGTAGTCAAAGTTTTTAATGGGAAGACACATGTATTTTTTTAATGAAACTTTGAAAATTTATTACTTTGGTAATAATTGAGGCCTGGAAGTACCAAAGGGAGTATGTGCCATTTTTTTGTTGAGTTTTTCGTTAAAAAACGAATAGTACATATGTACCCTTACTATATTTCTAAAGAAAAATACCCGGGGTATGATACCCCCTTTGGTACTGGAAGTCCAAAATGGGTATGGGCCATTTTTTTGTTGAGATTTTTCGTTAAAAAACATAGTATTTACCATTACTATGTTTCTAACAAAAAATGGCACATACCCTCTTTGGTACTTCCACGCCATGAAAATATTTAAAATTTGGCAAAAATTTAGTTACTTATATCGTCGTTTATCTGACAAAGAGGCGTATCTCATTTTTAAACAAATCGGTGTGAATTGAATTACGCCAGTTTGTACGGCACACAAAATGCAAAAATATTAGTTACGCCGAAACTGATTTATGCTAAAACTTTATTTGTACCTATTTATTATAGAGCTACGCCAGTTTGTGAGATTATAAAGTCGATTTTGGTGATCATTCTGGTATAACTCAAAAACGATTTTTTTTGAGTTACGCCTCTTTGTCAGATAAACGACGATATGATGTATAAAGGGATGCATTGGAAACAATTTTTTTTATTAATTTTAATTTTTTCGCTATTTAGACAAATTAATTATTTTGTTATTATGTTTTAACTTTGGAAAAAAATCCCAGTCAAGATTATTCTTCGGAATATTGTTTATATGGGCCTTAGTGATAATGTCCTAAAAGTCCCAAGTCAAATCAAGAATGGCCAGCAAGTTCCAAGATTTAACGCCACTTGATTTTTTTCTTTGGTGTCATTTAAAAACACAAGTCTACAAAACACCACCTGAAAACATTCAAGAACTCAAACAAAGAATAATTCAAGAATGTAGGCAAATAACTCCTGAAACGTTTTTAAAAAGTTCAACAAGAGTTTAAGAACAGATTGTATTGGCTAGTACGTACACTATATATTGTAATATTTTAAATTAAGAATTCATTTTGTTTATAACAATAAAAATAAAACTTACTCATCGATTCCTCTGGTTAAATCAAGCGAACTCAGGCCCAGAGAACTTGGTGACGGTAATCGCAACTCATCGAACACAAACCCACTGTTATTCACAACCGGAGACACCTGTGAGTTCCTTAGCGCTGTATTTTCGTACAAACTTGCACTGTTTTCGTCGTTATTTTTATTTAACACTGCGTTGATGCCTGCGTATGGTTTTTTGAAGTTTTTTGAGCCTCCACGACGTCCGTAGAGTTGACGGTAGTATTTTTCTTGGTCCCCGTACATCCAACAAACTTTCCACCATTGTTTGCACATAAGTACGTTTGCAGAAGAAGTTTGGATCTCCCGTTTTAGTGGTGTTGTATTTGACATTGTAACAGTCGTCATTTTTGCCTAAATTATGGTATGTCATGTTTTATAATGTGTGGTTATAGATACGGTAAGTGCCGGTAGTGGAAATATTGGTTGGATTTGCATACAAGCAAAGCAATTGACTGTGTGCCTCAGGGTCATTACCTTTAGCCATTGCTATCGTTATGTCTTGTACAAGACATAAGGGTAATTAAGAGAAATGTCGAGACATAAATAATACATTTGTAGCTAAAGTAGGTACATCGACAAGCGCAGAATTTATTATAAAACAATAATGGAAAATATTTGCAGCAAATCATATACGTAAGTACATTCCTCGGGCGGGAGTTTCGCCAATGGTGCCACCACGTAAAAAACAAACTTGTTTAGAGATACCAACATGAGAATCTGAATGCAGTATATTTTTAGCAAATACCAAATACGTAATAGATTTTTAATCAATTCGTTGTATTATGCATTTTATAATTTAATTCTTGTATTCACATGTAAATGAAATATCGTCGGATGAATGCATTTTATTAAAAGCTAAATATTAACAAGGAAATTTTAATTTGGCCATTAACTCTGTGAATGGACCTTTTGTGTGGTACAAATTTTAATTATTTCCGAATAATTGGTAGGTTTTCCATTATCAATAAAAATGCATAAATCAAAGCATTTCGTGTTTTAATCTTTTTATAATAATTATACAACTATTTTAATAGTTGGGATCATTAATTTTGATTTATATGGTTCGTCTGATACACTGAGAATAGCATACTAAGAAAGAGTTTTATACACAGATATTATTATTATATATAATATATTATATTTATTATCTATACCTACATGAAACTACTTGACATAAATTTGGTTTCAATTTTTATTTTATAAAAAAAAATGGTGATCAGCCAAAATAAGGAAAAGCTTTATTGACGACAAGTTAAACTGATGACAAGAAAAATAAGCTTAAATAAAGCTACACTATTAAATCCTTTATTTATAAAATTTTTAATTGATTTTAAAAACTACAATTTTTTATGCATATTTATGTATCCTGCGATGATATACATATATATATATATATATATATATATATATATATATAGATATGCAATCCTACATTACCAAGCCCGAAACGTTACATTCTACAGTATAAACGAAGCCCACTCGGTTTTTACGAAGCCCGAAATCGGGCTTCCTAAAATTAGCGTGTATAAATTTGTTTTAGAGTTAAGTGATGCCCCCTTGTTTCAATGGCAAAAAAGTGGTGGGCTTCCTAATGCCATTCAAACCTATCAAAATATACACCCTTAGTTCCAATGCTTTGGCGGTAGGGGGCACACGAGTCAAACGAGATTATATACAGCTTTTTATAAGTATTACGCAGTATACGAAGCCCGTACATCTGGCAACAATGGGGACTATACGCTCGATGACTTTTTGATAGGAAGGCGGGGAAAATAATGCGGGATTCTTAAATTTGTATCTACTTATTTTCAAAATAAATGTTATATTCCCAAAATTATGTTTTGTTCACTACATGGCGTGGATTAAAAGGCAATGTTTTGTTGAATACTTTCGTAATAACACTTAATTTTAAAGAATTATTTATTTTTGAAATATTATTTGCAGTGCATTTTTCTTTGGGGCGGTTTTACAAGTTGTCCAGATATTTTACATAGTTTTAATTGGGGAAACAAGGGGATTTGTATATATTATTATTATTATTCAATGTTACATTTAAATAATTTAAATAAAAATAGTTTTTAATTTATTTGAAACATTTCCAATTTTAATAAAAATAATTTTTAATTTATTAAAAAAAATTCCAATAGCGGTATGAAATAAATTAAAATTTATTTTTATTAAATATCATTTTAATGTAACATTGAATTGCAAAAACTGCTTTTTGACAGATAGCTTCTCATGGCAATTTGTCAATTAACATTCACAGTCAATTTATTTATACATGGCAAACAACGACCAAACGACCAAACAACAATAAGAAATTGGGTTCTTTATTTGGATAGTGCTTATCTAAAAAGAACCAAAAACTTGTTCGGAGCTTAACAAACTTATTTGTATATACCTAACTTATTTTTAATGCTGCTCAAAAACTTAATTATCATTTGAAAGTCCTCTCAATAATTTAAAAGAAGTTCTAAATAATGATAAACTTTTTGAGCATTATTAAAAATGAGTTAAGTCCAAAAATAGTTTTTGTCGCTTGGTTCCTTTTAGATAAGGATTGTCCATTTATACTTACCATTACAATATTATTTTATCAACCGTTTTGGTTAAAGTAATATTTTATCTACGATTTTTATTGGATAAAAGGCAGCTTTAACTTTATAATGTAGCTATAAAACAATATTTGGTTGGTAATACATTTTTCTTGTTTATAGGATGCTAAACTAAATAGCAATTTTCCCCACTTCTTTTTTATTTTTCAACTTTTAATTTGGTTTAGTTTTCCTAAATTTTCCCAACATTTATTAAAATGGATATAGCCGGTTTTCCACGGATGCTCCTCAACTTGTTCTAGGTCTTTTAAATCAAATTTGCCTATAATTATAAATTTAGACAATATTTTTAAATAATGACTTATAATTCATTCAATAATATAATAGTTTTTATTAAAATACTTATAAATCACACTATTTTTAAATATACTGCCCTACAAAATTATTGCATAATAAATAAAAAAAATTAACTCTAAAACGCCTTTACTAATCTTTATGAAATTTTGGATTAAAGTACTTCAACTTATATTTCAATTTACGTGTTCAAGGGTTTTTCGAGAAAATATGTTTAAAGCCTTTTCATTTAATAATGAAAATAAGTTCGAAAAATCACTTCTAGGGAATTTTTTTAAATAAATAAAAAATATGCTGTTAAAGAGCGTATTTTTTTTAGTATACCCTGAAAATTTTGTTCAAATCAAGCGAACAGTAACGAAGATACAGCGCTTCAAAGTCGTGAAAAATGACCACTTTTCAGCAAAATAATCAAAAAGGCGTCATTTTTACCGACTTTGAAGCGCTGTATCTTCGTTAATGTTCGTTTGATTTGTACAAAATTTTTAGGATGTACTAAAAAAAATACGCTCTTTAACAGCATATTTTTTATTTATTTGAAAAAATTCCCTAAGAGATATATTTCGAACTTTTTTTGATTATTAAATAAAAAGGCTGTAAACATATTTTCTCGAAAAACCCTCTAACACGTAAATTGAGATATAAGTTGAAGTATTTTTATCCAAAATTTCATAAAGATTGGTAAAGGCGTTTTAGAGTTAATTTTTTTATATTTATTATGCAATAATTTTGTCAGGCAGTGTATTAAAGTATACGTCATTATTTAGATATTTTAGAATTTTTGGTGTATTTAAATCTAATAATTTTAAAAAACTAGATGTCTTAATAATTGATGAAAAAAATATTCAGTCAGTTTCACTTCTTTTGATTCCCATTTAAGTTTTACACAAAATTACCTAACCTCAACAATAATTCTTATAATAATTATAATTATTGATATATTTGTATATTTTTTATTAACATATGGAAATATATTTTTTAAAGGCTTAACTTTTAAACAAAAACGAATCGCATCCATGTCATTTAAGAAAAAATGTTTATAATTAACCCAGCTATCATCTGACAAAGTTTGCCATAGAGCTTGTAGAGCACCCTGTATAAGATATTTAAACCTTTTCAAAATTATGATGTATAAACAAAATAAATGAAATGTTTATACCTATAGGTACCTAAATTCAACAATACTTTTAAATTATTATAATATAAATAATAATAATTTAACGATAATAATTATCGTTAAATTATAATAATTATAATTATTATAATAATTATAATTCAACAATATTATTAAATATTTAAGTATACCTACGTCATTATTTAAGAATATTGTTAAGTTTAAGTATCGTCTAGGTATTTTAAATCAAATTTGCCTATAATTATAAATTTAGACAATATTTTTAAATAATGACTTATAATTAATTTAATAATAATTATTATTATAATAATTTTTATTATAATAATTATAATTCAACAATATTATTAAATATTTAAGTATACCCACGTCATTATTTAAAAATATAGGTTAAGTTTAGGTATAGTCTAGGTATTTTAAATCAAATTTGCCTATAATTATAAATTTAGACATTGGCAACACCGCAGGGCTTCTGATACACAGCGGAGTGTGTCTCTTGTTGTTTATGCACCAACGAACAGTTAACCGCCCCGTCCCGCATTACCGGGCTTCGACTAGCCAGTGTAATGCACCGGGCTTCGCATTGATAGCCGTGCATGTATATATATATATATATATATATATACTCGTATTACTATGATTTCTTTTTAATATTAATGTATGTCAAGAATTTTTTTTTAATGGTATGATTTTCATTTTAATCACTAGCCTATAAAAAGCCTTTATATTTGTACGCAGTTCAAAAGTCAAATTATTATTTACCGCAGTACAATAATAAAAATACATTGAAATTACATAGGAAGAGTGGTCACTATAGATGCATTAGGGTGGGTCAAAAAACTTTTAATTTTCTTTTCTTTAGCTACCATAAAAATATCGTCCAAGATGACGAACAAAAAATTCTGATAATGAGCTCTTAATATAAATATTAAGAGGTGGCTCATCACGAATTTTTATTTTCCATTTAAATAACACGGGAAAAATACATTTTTTTGTTTGTAATTTTATTGCGTTTTAAGGAAATAGTGAGGTGTAGAAATCATACATTTTCTTGTAGGGAATTGAACGATCTACAAAAAAGATTTGATATGATTTTTTGCATAGTCGACTCTTTTAAAAGTTATTTGAGGTTAAAGTTCAACTTCAAATAGTAAATGGTGACTTTTATAGTTTTCAAATTTCAATATCATATTTTTCGTTTATCGAGTGTTCTACGGTAAAACAATACAATTTTTACGAAATATCAATAATCGTGAAAAAACATACCTATAATATAACAATGTTATATTATAACATATGAGGAGGTTCAT